TCTCTTACATCGCTCTTTGCCTATTAATGATACTGCTGCACCCGTATCGATCAGACAAACTAAATCTCGTTCATTTATGTTCACTTTCGTATACACTGCCCCTCTGTCTACTCACGCAACAACCCCCAGATTCCTGGGATAGAAAGAGCATTCGTTGTAACGTCTAAAATATCTGCGTGCTCGTCTTGTTGGACAGTTTATTTTCCAATGTCCTGTCTCTCCACAAGCGTTACATTTATCGTTTCTTTTATGATTCACTCGTATTGCCGCAATCTCACTCTCCAGCTCCTCAATATTCTTCCCGACACTATTTATCTCCTGCTTTCCGCACCCGACCGAAGCTACTGTTCGTGTCATCAGCCGACAAGTCACCTTCGCCAGTTCATTGATATCCATAGGTTGCGCTGCGTTTACTAGTTTCAGCTTCTGGAAAACGGTGGCAGGCACACTCTTGATAAACAGCGACGCCAACAACTGTACCTCCGACTCCTCATCCAGATTCGGAAGCACACGGCGTAACAATCTGGTAAGCTCCACAGCCAACACCAGTGGATCACCGTCGACTGACAACCTCGCCAACCGGTGCTTCCTCCCTGTCCACTGGGCTGCCGAACTCCGTCACCAACCACTCCGTAACTGTCGCTCACGTCGTCTTTCCGCCAGCACCGTCAAACCTGTCATATACAGCCCTCGCCCTGCCTCTCAGCAGCGTCCCCAGAACCACCACCTTCGCCCTCGGCTCCTCCACTCCCACCAGCTCCACCACGACTTCAAACTCCTTCAAGAAGCTCAGCACATCTTCCCCATCTTCTGCTGCCAGACAATACATTTCTGACTCGCATTATATACTATTTATATCAGTATAAGTAGCACTCACCACAATAGTACAAAATTTTCATGTGCTTCTATAATTTGGTGATACCAAATAAACAGTCTCTAGGCCAGTCAAAAACAATACTATGAAAGTGTAGCTGATTGCAGTTCCAAAAATAAAATCTGTGTTAGTATTTTGAAAGTGGCTTATTAATATGAAATTATGTTTAGTTCAGCAAAAGATATGTTCGTCTATTTATATTTTCCCACTTTATTTATTTTGAATATAAGAATCTCGCATGTTGCCTTCCTTCAACTGGATTACAGGATTGATTGATTTTACATAATTATAACATAACAAGTGTAACCGGAATACAATATTCAGTAGAAATTTCTTTAAATATCTGTAAGAAGCCATGAATTTAGAACATTTTTGACCAATGAAATGATTTATATTGGTACTTGTTTTTATACTTTATGATAATAATGTAATCCCAATTATGAATTAAAAATTAATGGCTCTACTTAACAGTATTAAGCATATTTATCAGAAAGGGTTTTGTGGAGATTTTAGAAATTTCACTGATTCAAATCATAAGTGCGGGATTGTGGATGCGCACTGCTGAGGAGTCCCATACTAAGACGAAACGGTCGTTCAGTGCTTCCAGGTTTTCCATGGTGGTCTAGCTTCAATTGGCTCATGATTTCAATCAGTTAAGCATATTTAGTTGGAAATAAATATGGCTTATAAATTTAAAAAGTTATCCGATGCAAAGAACCTTAAGTTGATTATGATATGTAATATTATTTAAGTATAATTTGCATTGTAAAATAGTTATTCTTTCATTTATTACTAATTCATTTAATTTAGATCACATAACGTTTATTGATAATATACCTTAAAATGTTTGACATTCATTAAACTATTCAATATACTTTAAATTGATTAGTAATGAGTTACATGTCCTTAAATGAATTGAATAGATAAAAATTAGTTTACTTGTCTACATCTGTAAATATATGCTTTACCGATCTCGTTCAAAATAAAACAAAAGATTGTATCCTGATTAAAGGAAAGCATATATAAATGTTAATTTTTAAAGATAACAAGAAAATGAGTATCTAGTATAAACCGATAAATAGTAGTGTACATAAGGTTCATTTATTATGAATTTACCTTAACGAAATGAATTGAATCTTTCTATTTATATTCATAAAGAAACTAATCATGATGAATTTTTCATTTCTGATTTTATTTTTGTAAACTTCTCTGTTTGAATAAAGTGCTCATGATTTCAATCAAAAACTTAACAACCTCCACAACCCCTAAACTGAAGATTATCTATCCTTTAAGGTGGAAACGAAGAAAGATGTAATATTGTAGGTCACTGGATAATGACAAGTTGAGTTACTTTGGGTATGTATATTATAGTATTCAAACTCAAGAGCATAAAAATCTTAGTGATGGTTCTATAGTTAGATTCTTATTTAAATCATCTATATATTATTTCAAATAGGGGTGTGACTTTTAGCGTCATTCAGTAAGTGTCATTTTGTTCATCCTATTCACTATGTTTTTGATTGATTGCTTCCAAATATGAAAATAAAAGCATCCATCAGAGCTAAAAATGTACTTCAACTTTAAAATTCACCTTTTCCATAAGATGCTGTCGCTTTACCATCCAAACGTTTCTAAGTTATATGTCAAAGTCATGTTTCATCTTAAATAAAACAGAAGTGTTTATTGTCCTTAGTATCTTTAAGGGTCAGAGCTTTAATTTATGATTTTATACCAAATTTGTCAATCAGCAGTGTGTCCCTTTGCATGGAGTGAATATGTTCTGCTTATCTGCGCACTATGTTTACGATCAATCTTAAGTAATTATCTGTGTGGTCGTCTGCTACATGACAGTATTTGTAATTTGAGAATGATAAGTAATGAAGTGTTACAGGAATCAGAGTTGGTAAGAAAAAAATGTTGAGTCCAAACAATGGGTACGGGGAAGCTACTTCCTAAAATCTCAATCATTATACCTTTTGTCAACTAGCAATATTTGTGTTACGGACTATATTTCTATCTGTCTGTCAGCAAAAGAGCATTCAGCAAAGGAATTGACTATGTGCTAGTTTACACTTGGCAAAGAAAATGTGTAAGTAGTGTCTATCAGTTTACAGATGAACTTAGTGGTGGAATCACCTAGTAGACAAAGCCGATGTTATGTGTAATTATGGCTGATTGTTTGGTAATACAGTGACTGCCAAATGTTCTATGTTTGTTTATCCCTCCTCTCTTTCTGATTCAGCGCATTGCATGACATTGGGCTGCAGAAGAGATACAGGATGTCATACCAGTACATGTCGACTGTCTACGGTATTACTGTCCGTTGGCTTAAACCATTTGAGAAGTTTAAGACATCCGTATCCATGAGACATTTTTAGTCCATGATAGACCTTTAGTGAGATGAATAAATATTGGTCTTAGCCAAACAAATGGATTGATCTATTGTTCACAGCTAATTCTTCAACATAATTTTATTTCATATTTGTCAGTAAATGGTTACATTTTGTCATATGACTTTGCTTTGCTTTCAAATTGATATTATTGTTTGCACTATGAAATATACTTCTATGAGATTCTTCTCAACAGTTGTTAGAGAGTTTATTATAGCTTGAATAACGATTCATTTTTGTCTGATTGTTTCATGTCTTCAGTTGTTCGTCTCTCTGTATTCTAATGTTGCTGAACAAATCAGAACACTCGCGTTGGAAAATACCTGTAGTGAAGTCTTATAAAGGAATATGGTTTATAATTATGGTAATTCGAAATTAATTTTCGTAGAAGCTGTTTTTCCAACACATTATTTCACTATCTCAATGATGTTGTCCGACACCGGATTTTCATCATTATATCTGTGGTTTACCTGAAAATATTCTCAATCACAGACTCTTTCAGAAAGATTGGCATATTCATATGTCTTCTGAAAATTTTAGTAAGCTTGTTTTTTTTTTAAGCTGAGCTAAGATTTGTCCAACAAATGCACTTAGAAGAATGAATTAATTTATGAAAAGGTAGAAGAGTATTCAATGTTTTCTACAAAAAATATTGGGGTATACATAAATTATACTTTTCAGTAATCTAAATTCGAGATGATTTATGTGATATAGATTAGCTGCAACAATCAAAGCCACGTTATTTAGTTTATCATAATAACGAATTGTATGCACAACCAAATTCTGTAAATCTGGAACTCTTGGACATGCACGGAATGAATGGTACGTCTTAGCACCAGACAAGTCAAGAATTCTTAGAAAGTGACCGTTAAATGCTATTATCTAGACAATCAATATAAAATAAAACAGTTATCGAGGTTTAATGTGTCCACATTGTGGATCACTTCACCGTTAATGTTTGCAATTCATATCTTCTTCTAAAAGCTAGTTGGGTCACTACACAAAGCATAATGCGTATATTCATATAGCTATTTTATGTATGTAGTGATTTTCTCATTACAATAGTACTATTTATACAATCTTAATCTCAATGAACTCTTAAGAAAACTTTGCGCTGAGTACGTCCAGTTGCAATCAATCATTTCATGACATTTACATGAAACAGGCGTTGATTATACTCTCCAAAATGCCGGTAAAAAAATTCGGAATCAAACCATTTAGCACAGAATACACGATACAAACAGAATCATCCAACTAAGCTGCTAAGCTTATCTGTCACTTCAAAATTAATTCACCCTACGAAATCAGTAAGTTGATTGTTCTTAACCACTGGGTCGCAGGTTTAAACCCAGTTACACTTAAATAGGTTAGGGTAGTCTAATAATTTCAGTAATACAGGTATATGAAGACTTACATTGTTACAAGCAATTTAGTAAAAAGTGCATCATCATTTAATTTTCCCTAGAAGTAAAACTCATGATAACACAAGTTAGGTACTCCATGATTTTACAGTAAACAATTGAAAACTTGGAGATTTATCATGATGGATAGCTTTATATCATTAAACTAACAAAGAAAAAGACAAGACAAACAAATAAACACAATTATTATATAAATGATACAATTAATTATTTTAAAACTAATAATACAATCATCTTGCATAGTTCACAGTTTATTTGTCATTTGAATTAGTTGTCTATTTGGTTGGTTGGCTTTATTCTTTGCACCATTTTAATCTAACCAGACTTGAATAAAAGTACTGCACGATCATCTAAGTAGAAATAGATGAAGTTATTCGTCTCGTGGGTTACGTAACTTTAGGAAAAGGAACAGAAAAATAAAAAAGGATCTTTAATATCTGCGTGGATATATAGTTTAAGTATAATTTATGTTGATCCATCGTTACAAATATCGATTGTTTGATGAGTAAGGAAAATGAGTTATGCTTATCTAAAATATAATGAAATCTAACAGATCTTAAGTCATTATACTATACAATAATAATTATTGTCAGATAGGAAATTAAAATTTTTAACAGCTAACCTTCCAAAATTTCGTCCGACTATGCAGTGCCATACAGGATTATATTTTATATCAAATTCTTTCTTGACATATTCTGCTATATGCATTTCCAATTCATATTTATCCAGTGCATCACTTGTTACATCTATTGCATCCTCTTGCATTTTAGTAGACATATTAGTATTCTTAATCACAGCTTTATGTTCAATCATATTTTCTAAAAGGTTGTATAGTGTTTGGTAGCTGATTTAATTTATTCAACTATGCACTAAGTTGTTTAGTATATATATATTATCCTATCCATTTTGATATGACTGAATTTTCAGTGTGAGATTTGGTCTCATTTGTTCCGGTTTACTTCACGTGTTATAAACATTTAGCAGTGAATTCTTTTAAACGGAACAGGTAAATTCTTATCCTCGATTGGTCTATGATTATTGGTTCCCGTATATTTAAATATGTTTATCATATATACACTGATTGTTTTAGCTCATATTTCAAGATTCTATAAACATAAAATGTGTCATATGTTATCATTTTATTTCTCAGTGTGAGCATGATAATTTACGTATTTTCAAATGTATGTGTATTGTTAGCATAATTGGACTTATTAATAAGTCTTTAAATCTGTTCAGAGAAATGAACTTATTCAAATAATATGTAAGATCTTAAGGTTCCTACTTAGATGTACATCAACATATATGTATACGACATCACTGTAAGAGGACAAAAAAAATCGTTTACTGGTGCATACTGGTGAATACAATCTGTAATACATAATTTACGAAGCAAATCTTTGACGGTTGTAATTAATACTATAATAATAGGCATTTTTCAATGGCACACACTCCTAATTATTTAACTTGATTTATACTTTGACTTCCAAAAAAACATTCGGTTATTAAACATGTGAGAAAATCAATGAATAACTATGATACACCATTCGCGAGGGAATTCTCGGAGTCCTAGTGAGAAGCCGTGACCAGTAGAGCTAGTTTGTGTCGGTTAGAGACAGGTATCTACCACAGTAAAATGGAAGATGGTTGCTCAGTTTCGTGAATTGGTTGAGGTTAGACATTAACACCATTGGATGCCGGCTCAGTAGTCCAGTAGATTAAGCGTTCTCGCACGACTGAAGATGCTGGCTTCGAATCCTGCGAGCGGGATCGTGAATGCGCACTGCTGAGGAGTCCCAAAATAGGACGAAATGGCCGTCCAGTGCTTCCAGGTTTTCAACGGTGATGTAACATCAATCTGTTCATGATCTCAATCAAAAACGTAATAATTTCCGCAACCCTCATACTGATAATTCAAAAAAGATTATTTTATCGTTCAAAGAAAATATAAAAACAGCTTAACGGTACTCATTTATTTCATAGAGTTTTAAATCTAAACAAACAAACTTGTTGTGCAAGTACATTTTCATTATAAGCATAAATTAACCTTCATACTATGGATCAAATACTCCAATTATAGTTAAACTATCTTACAATAATAATTTAAAAAGAAAAAAATAATGTACTTAGACTAATTAACTATTGGATAATATTTACAATTAATAAGTAGTCAATGAGTAATTTCTATCATAATGGAGATGTTGAATTCTTTATTGTTTATTACTACATATAAATGAGAGGATAATCAGAAAACTTGTATTAATATTAAAACTAAATACGATTATACTGAATGAAACAATTGGAAGATTTACATTAAGTAAATGTAAAATAGTTTTCTTTTCAAATATTGGTATTGTTTTACTTGTATCTTCCGATCGTTATTTATGACTGCGGTTGATCAGTACGGTACTGGGTTCGAGTCCCCGAGTGAACATCAACTCTGCGATGCAGGCATATCCAGCTGACGAGTCCCAAATAGGACGAAATGCGCATCCTGGATTCGATTGCTAGCTACTATCCATCTTTGCTTCAATTCACAATTAGTTTTTTTAATTCTTATCATAAGTACTTTAAGTTTATTACTGAAGATGTTTAAATTATTAAGTTATCAAATATAATAACCCTTATATTGACGATTGTTTTATTCAGGCATAGATTAGTATAATTGAAATCAAGTTTAATTTTTTTTAGATAATATTACTAGTATTTGGAACTAATAATATTTTTAAAGAAGCTTCTTTTATACTACTTAATAAATGAAGAATAATAAGTACTTATTTTTATTCAAAAATTAAAATGATTTTCTATGTGCAAAACTTGTAGTGTTAATTACTATGTTAAGCCCGTAAAACATATTCTAGATTCTGAACAGGCCAGTTTAACCATTTTTCTGCAGTAACGTTCTGATCTGGTTAATTATTCACCTATCAACCCTGACTGTTTTTATATGAGTGTACGTGTGTGTATACTTCTTATTCTATTCATCACATATCTGTAACTTATTTTTATCTGGCCATCAATATTGATTAACACTTGATTAAATGGGAGTTGACTCACATGCCTTCTCCACAGCGTATTCTTTCGTTTCACTTCACTTTTTGATCTTCACTTCATTCACCACGATTCTCTGAATGTTTGTTCCAATCAACAAGTGTACAAAATATCTGTATTCAAAAATTCATTCTCGTATTCAACTTAATTAATTCCGTTATTCACCAACACGATTTAATTCGATGAAATATACAAGGATAGCCGACTTGTGTATGTCGATGACAATCAACATACTATCTAATTGGAGTCAGATACCAGGACACAAAAAAACTAAGCATTTTGTTCCCCAAACAAGTTTAGGTTGTTTTTTTTTATTTCAGTAGAAATATTTTGAAGTTAATCATCATTTAACAGTACCGAAACAACAATTGACAACACTAACTGTGAACTACTTACTTTAGTTCCAATTAACCTAGAGATATTAAATCTAAGATTGCTTCATCACTCATATATTTGCACAATAATGTCTCACATTTACGAGAGTCCCATTTCCAACAAAGTTCTTTATTCATGTACGTTATGCTTTATTGTATGTAACATTAAAAACTAATAAATCATTTATTACACTAATTAAAAATGTTATCTCAGATTCTTTCTCTAAATACTTTTAGTTATGATCATGATCATGTTCAGTTTTATGAATAAGACTCCCATCAAAGAAGCATTTCAATATAATTCTGATAGCCTGTTTTGTTTACATAACTGCCGATCTTAGATACTAAACTAACTGTTGATAAAGAATTTGACAAGCTACATGAAACATATTTTGTATAATTATGGCAGTAGCCTATTAAAGGTTTTAAAAGTTATTTAATACAAAATACAGTTATTTGTTACATGGACTAATCAAAATCATTCTATTTCTTTTATGTCAATTCATCACTCTATTATAAAAAGCATTTATCAAATTATATTTAAACTAATAAGTAAACATGTAGAACAATTTATATTTACCTTCCAAAATGTTTTCCAACTATACAATGCCAATTTGGTGTGTATTTACGATCAAATTCTTTTTTAATATAAGCAGCAACATCTTTTTCAATATCATATTTATCCATTGCAGCTGATGCTACATAGACTGCATCATCTTGTACAGTTCGTTCCATATCAGCATTTTTAATGACAGCCTTACGTTCTGACATGATTGTCCTAATAACTTATTATGTATTATATTGTAATGATAAAATATTATGTTGTATTTATACTCTTAATCAATGAGTATCAATTGATTATTGGTGTAAAATATCTAATCTTAAATTAAAATATAACTAAGGATAATGTTAATTATGTCATTAGTACAGAGAAAAAGAATTTCATTCAAAGCTAAAACCTTCAAATATTACAAGTAATATATAACATGTATTCATATATTCTCATGGTAATATAATAAAATAACGAATAGCATTACTGATATTATTACATAATATAGATAATGATAATCATAGTTTCAATAGTAATAATCATGATAATAGCTGTAGGAATATGAACCACATGATATTAATGTGAAATGTTTCAAAATTTCATAAGATTGTACTAATTAACAAAGATCTAATGACAACCAGGAATCTGTTACTTTCTTTGAATAATCTGAATTACAATGAGAGAAGAAAGAGAAAAAAATAGGGTACTATAAACTTTTTTTGTTATTGTCATAACAATTAAGAAAATCTAGTTTACTGACAAAATAAATTTTACTGTATAAATGAGTGATTTGTAATGAATGTAAATGTATTCTTGTCATTGAACAACATTACTTAGAATATAAATTGAAACATTTCATCAGTGAGAATTTACGATCCTATTAGATATTGTAATAAAAATTTACAGATTTTTAATAAGAATGATTTAGTTTTATGTAGTTGAATAAGAAGATAGTAATCTATATTTCGAAGATTAGACAAAATTTGTTAAGTTAATTAGGTAGTAACACCGCCTAGAGCCCCATCTGGATCTGCTGCCGGTCCCAAGCTTGGATAAAGGAGGAGGGTTGATTATGGGGTTAGCGACCCCATCCCGTAGAAAACTAACTCACTAAAAAAAACTCTAACCAGAAAAATTATTCATTTTGTAAATCAAGTAGTAACTACAATTAAATCGGTTCACACAAATATAAAGGATTAATTTATTGAATATCTCAAACGGTTTATCAGGAAATATTTATGGCGATATACTTCTAGGTAATTGATATCATTGGTCTTTAGATTATAAAGATAGTTGTTTCAGATAAGTGCGAAACAGTTTATTTTTTATTGTCCGCTTGGTTTATTAAGGGATGTAAATAAATATATTCCGGTACAAACTATATTATTTCAGACTAGCTGAAAAAGTTATGGTCGAGTTCATTCACAAAGCTATCAACATTTAATTAACAAGCTTATTCATAATAATATGGTATTACATTGCATTTAATGATACATGTTTTAAACTTAATATTTATTATGTACTTTACTAATATTAAGCGAAACATTTTCTATTCTAACCTTAATCTTATGCACACATGAGGTCATACCATGAGAAAAATATATTAAGGACAGAATTATAATTGATCTAGTTTAAGTGGTTCACATACAAAGCTACTTCAGTTTAGTGAAACACGCGGACTAGTGTTTCTCAAAATTTATTAAGAATAAACATAACACTGATAATGCTATTATGTTTCAAGTATTAAAGTGTAGTAATACGGGTAAAAGATATATCGAAACTTGCAATTATAAACCATTTTTATCATGGTCAGATATAACTATGGTTGATGTTAGACACTATAATCATTGAATGCCAGCTCAGTGGTCCAGTAGGTTAAGTGTTCGCACGCGAGACCGAAGGCCATGGGTTTGAATCCCGAGGGCGGGATCGTTGATGCGCACAGCTAAGGAGTCCCAAAATAGGACGAAATGGCCGTCCAGTGCTTCCAGGTTTCCAAAAGTGGTCTAACATCAATCTGTTCACGATCTCAATCAAAAACTTGATAACCTCCACAACCCCTATACTAATAACTATAGAAATTTGATTCATGTTCCACTAAGTAGATTCAAATATATTGTTGAAGAAAATAAATAACGATGGGATAAGTAAATTGTGTTATTGAAGAGACAGTTAATTGTGTCCTTTCAAACTGACGTTGCCAAAGAGAAATTGTAAGCTTACTGGCATTAGTTTGATAAATTCTAAATAAATGATAACCATTTCAATATTTTACCCTTTTTCAACATTTACCTACACAATTTATAAACCTACTCTTTTTTTCTACAAACTTCTATATCACTAAACTAATACCTGAGATAGTAGAGAAGATTTGTAGCACAGGTGGATTATTTTGGTGTTGTTTTGTTCTCTTAGCTCGATGGTTTGGTCGTTAAACTTTCATCGTTCTTCTGAACAACATCATAGGCACAAACTTCAAGTAGAAGTGAAGTATTTTAATCTCTCAACATACGACTCACAGCTTGTCTTATCTACCTCGATCATGAGCGGTTATTGTTGATCCTAACCAGTGACTATGCGAAAACTTTAAGTTCGTTATGTGGATGGCACGTTTTTCATCGTCATAAAAGACGAGCTAGAATACACCTGAAATGTGTTCGATGACACAAAGTTTACAATGAAACAGAAGTAAAACAATAAACTATAATGATTGGATGTATTGATCACCAGAACCGATACAGGAAAACTAGACAGCCAAGTATATCAGAAGCAGACCTGGTTGGTAAGATTGTGGCTTTCAGTCTCTGAATGACTGCTTCTGCAATAAATCCTGATATTGGTAATCCCAATGGTGTTCTTTTCGTTTATTCATAAATCTTATTGGTGAAGTGAAAATATGTTGTTAAACAAATATCGATACATTCGATGCAATCAAAATAAGGAAGTAAACAATGACAGGTTAAAGGTCAACAATAACCATCTAGGTCGATAGGACAAGCTGTGAATCATAAGTGAAGAAATTCGAACACTTTACTTATTCATCTTTATTTTTAGCTTTGTTCAATATCATATTTTTGGTACAATATAGAATTCTAAGCAAAAATTACTTCACAGTTTCCGTTTCTTACTTCTTGATCGATATTGACGGTAAATATTGAGTGTTCTCCAGTTAGATATTAGCATTTCAGAAGTCGATATTTGAATAATATTCATTCTTTCCAATCTATATCTTCAAACATCACGATGTCTCCGATCGTACGTTTTTGTAACTTGTACAGTGATAGGTTGTAAACTTTTCATAAACACACCTGAATAGGTTATGCAAACAATTGACATAATGATTTGTTAAAATAAACAAAAAAAACAGATAACTTGTTGAAATATCCAGATGGCAGGAACAAGTAGCCCAGATATTCAAGCATGCTGCCTTCTACTTGAAGTTTGTGCTGATGATGTTGTTCAGAAGAACAATGAAAGCTCTACGATTAAGCTTTCCAGCTCTGAGGACAAAAAGCTAATTCCTTCATTTTTCAGTTCGTTCTCATCTTATAGTATATGTATTTTCATTATCGAAATGGAACACAATATTGGTTTAAATTACGTTTTTAAACTTTTGACCCCCTAATATCTTAGCGATGTTAATATCCACTCACTCCTGAAGTTTTCTCATTGCCTTAAACTATTATCATTGCTTTTATTAATTGTTGATTCACTTTATCACTTTACACATGTTTCGTGTAGTAAATATAACTGTATACTAGATGGCTCTGTTTAGCTGAATTTCTTTGCACAATAACTGTGATTGAGATGATAAAATTTGGATTAAGGTTTACTCAAGTTAAAAGGTGGGTTCATGCTAAGATACTTTTTCCTTTTTTTGTGTAATGTAACTTAGAAGAAATCATGTTTGCCAACAGACCCTCACAATCTTCATGTTAAAAAGCATGTTACCGTGGACTTTTAAGACCATTACTTTGGCCCCTAAAATTATGCTATCTGTGACATCCCGAAGAGGATAATGAAAGATAACCGTTGAGATTTATTTATGGACTAATACCATACACATATTTTTATTGTATGATTGTTAAGTTACTAAACTATGTTTATTGATATTCCTATTCTTATGAGCTTTATTTTGACCCGTAGACAACTATTATACGATTGACTATTCTTACGTTAATTATAGTCTCCCACAATCACAATCACTTTCTAGCTTGACCATGTACAAAATTTGTTTTCTATTTATGGTATGATGTGGTCTGTTTGGCTTGTATATAAACCGAGAATGTATGAAATATATCCACCAACGACGGAAGAAATCAGAATGACCATCAGACATCGTATTTTGATTGGTGGATAAATCACGTGATAAAAAGTCGGACATAAAGTCACAACAAGAACGCTATGGAAAATTCTTCGACACTACGGAGTTCCTGACAAGATTGTCAACGTTATCTGGAACTCACACGACAGACTACAGTGCAAGGTCGTGCATGGAGGATAGCTGACAGATGCATTCCAAGTAAGGACCGGAGTCAGACAAGGCTGTCTACCCTCTACCTTCCTCTTTCTTCTGATGGTCGACTGGATTATGAAGACTTCGAAATCTGAGGGAGAACATGGCATACAATGGACATCTCAGAATTAATTAGACGATTTGGACTTCGCAGATGGCTTAGCCCTCCTATCGCCTACACATGAACAAATGCAGATAAAGACAGCCAATGTAGCAGCAGTCTCTGCATCAGTAAACATCAGCATACACAAGGGGAAAACCATGGTCCTCAAATGCAACAGGGAGAACAGCAATCCAATCACTCTTAATGGCGAAACTCTGTTAGATGTAGAATCCTTCACATACCTGGGGAGCATCATCGATGAACAAGAAGGCTCAGATGCAGACGTAAAGTCAAGGATTGGCAAAGCAAGGGTCGCATTCCTACAATGGAAGAACATATGGAACTCAAAACAACTTTCAACCAATATCAAAGTCAGGATCTTCAATACGAACGTCAAGGCAGTTCTACTGTATGGAGCTGAAACTTGGAGAACTACAACAACCACCATCAAGAAGGTACAAGTATTTATAAATAGTTGTCTACGCAACATACTCAACACCCATTGACTGGATCCCATCAGCAATAGCCTTCTGTGGGAGAGAACAAACCAGCTTCCAGCTGAAGAGAAAATTAGGAAAAGATGATAGAAATGGATAGGACAT